GCCATCATCCATTGTTACTCCCACATAAAATGGCGTTTCTGAGGCGTTGTTACCATCAATGATGGCCCTTTGTTCAGGTTTACTTGACAAATGTAGTTGGTCAAAGAGCCAACCTTCGCTGGATGACAAGTGCAAAATAATTAAAACAATTAATGTCATCATTTCTAAGACAATGAATAATCAATCGTACCTTAGTTTCTTAATTTAAACAGTAAGTATTTAATACAACTGACCTAGTTTTGAAAAATATTTATATTTTAATTTGTTAGAATTTTTTATTGGTGACGTTTAACTCTCGAACAGAATTGATCTTACTGGAACTTAGTTCAAAGCAAAAGATCACTTCCCGGTTTTTTTTTTCAAATTATCTGGTGAAAATTGACTTCAAATCGTAGATTTAATCAATTTGTACGAGTGATTTGCCATTAAAAAAGCAATTAATTTCGCATATTACTCACTAAATTTATAGGAGCAGCAGTGAGTGAAAGTGTTTGATTTATAGTGTACGAATGAATATTCTCATGCGCAAAAGACCGAATGCTCAAAAATCTTCAACCGATCAGAATCTTATAAGCTTTTTCATTTTAACTAAGTAAAACTCTACACTAACATAAACCGAAAACCAAAAAAACTTTTATTAATAAAATACAAAACAATAAATAGCGAGCTAACTAAAAGTTTGTATCAACTAACAAGTACCAAAAAACAACGAAAAATTTGTTCATATATTGACAAAGAGTTATCATACCAGTTTGAGAAAAAAATATATACTTTCGAATTTTGATCAAAATTGTAGCCACTTGAATTTTTCCTGCCGGTTGTTTTTCGTGTACTTCCACAGAGAAAACTGTAATCTGCATTTTGTTTGCACGATAATTTCGGAAAAATATAATTGTCTAAAATGAAGGTCTGAAACGAGCATTTACGCGATTCGAACTCAAATTCTAGGTTTCGCAGATATTGATATTTTGTCAAACGCAGGGCCTTTTATGTTTCATTCCAACAATAATTTTTTCATTCACAAAATATGTAAGTAATTGAAAAAAATGAAAAAACTGAGAAAATTAGCAAACAAAAACTAAACATCCGGTATCTTGGCATCGTCACTTTTTTATATAACGGAATGAGTCTAACGGAATGAATTCGTGTACAGTAGAGAACTTTAGAGGGTAAAAATGATTGTATCGCAAAAAATTCTATATTGAAGCTCTAAATTAACGTTTTCGGGTGAAAAATCCTGAATATTTGTAGGAACATTTTTCAAAATGAAATCGTACTAGTTCTGCTGCTTTCTTTTTAATTGCGCCCAACAGTTTGGGAATATTTTCTCTCCAGAAACAACATCTAAAAAAAATTTTAAAGGTTTCTTGTGGGTAATACTTGTGTTGGTTTTCGGAAAACCGAGGTTTTTGTGGCACTTTTGGCTGATAGTTTCATTCATTGCGACATAAATTGTTCTTAGTTTTTCAATATGATGCACTTTGATCCTTGGGTTTCAAATAAGTTTCATAAGCTAAAACTCGAAACTTGTTCTCTCCGATGAATGCATAATCAGGTTTGGGGGTTTATTCATTTTGATAAAAACGTTTTTTCTTCTATTTAAACGCTTGGTTAACTTATAATTTGGATTTGGTTTGGTTTTTTAACTTATTAATCAAACTGCTTGGTTGAGCTGCTATTCGGAGGTAATTTTCTTTCGCAATAAGAATAGGCAAATACCAAACGAGGATAACCGGTTGCTCCACCAAAAACTACCTAAGTTTTCACGGCTTAAAATAAGCTTTAATAAGCTAATGTAAGCCAACACGGTTGCCTTATTAGCTCGAAATTAGACCAAAACTTAATTTTTTTTTATTTTGATTAAATTAAAACTGAAAGGGTTTTCTAATGATATATCACTCAACCCATTCCGATGAATATTTGTGGTACCTGATTTTGCGTGGAAAAAAAGCATTGTTTTTCCTAATATTTGTGGTAACTGATGATATATGTGGTACCTGATTTTGCGTGGAAAAAAGCATTGTTTTGCCCTATTTTTTGGTCGATTATAACTGAATGCTAGGTCAGACGATTTTTATAGAACTTGAATTGAATTTAATTTGATGCTGTTTTTTGGATGCTTTTAACTAATACGTGGTGATTATCTGCTTAATTTCAAAAGGACATTTGGGGAAAAAAGCAAACATGGGAAAACAAAGACAACAAGGATAACTTTGGCTCAAAATCTTAAGAATTTTGACTATCAAAGCTTTTCTTTCTTCGAAAACAAAGCGTCCTTTCTTTTTAAATGGAACTTGCTTTTTTGGGGCGCATCTAAAGCAGAAAAACAAACCAATTTTAAGCTCTGAAAAAGTCTTAAGTCTGAAATTAATCTGACGAAGTACAAGATGTTACAACAGATTGATTGATTTTCAATTCTCGCGCATTTGCTTCTTTGCGCTGAAGGTTTTCCCTGATGTATTGAGCAAATGTTTTGTTTACCAAAAATCATAAAAACAATCAAAATTATTTGTTCAACATATTTTGGGATAAGATTTTTACTTGTAATTGAGAATGGCTTACAATATGGTACTTGTTGGTTGAAAAAATTATTGAATTTGCCCAAAATTTCGCGGCAAAAAAAGTGAAATTTTGGCAAAATAGTTCAGAAAAGTCTAAAACTTTTTTGATTTATTTTTTTGATAACCGAATTTGATTTAACTTATTTCTAGCCTAAAAAATTACTCTACTGACAATAAAACATCACATTTTTGTATAAAACACGAATAAAAGCACTTATCATGCTCTCCATTTTACGTCAGTTTTACCCTCTTAAAACTCTTATGCCTCATTTAAGTTTTAATTGTACTTTTTTGGTAGAAAATAGGTTATACTATCAATTGTACTGCTTATCATTTCATCGCACAAGGCTTTGTGCAATTGCTAATTAAAAAAACTTGAGTTGATTATTATCAGCAGTTGAAGTTTTAGCAAAAATAGGTTAGAACACTGGTTTATTTTGTTTTTCACTTCACGTTTTCGAATTTCTATGTCAAAACCTGAAACTCTTTTTGCGGTACCAGACAGAAATAAATTCAATTCAGATAAGTTGAAGTGTTTACCTTGCAAAGTTTCGTTACGCTTTAACAGTGCAAAGTTTTAATACTTTCACTGTTTTTCAGCCATTCTTATCTGTGTATACCGCCTATCATTTGCTATCGTTGTTGTTCCGACTTTCGATACGAAAGTAACGGAATATTTGTGCTCGGGGTGGGTTTTTTTTTTCTTCAGACAAATTTCGACTTTTTAACTAGCCATTTTTGACGGAAATTTTTTTGTATCATTCGAAAGCTATTGTTGTCCTGAGCTTAAATTTGAAAAGATATTTCACCTGTGATCATTTTTTGTAAAGTTATGAGGGTTTAAAGATTGCCATTTTGGCCATTTTGACCAATTTGGGACAATTAACGCGCGATATAATTCGCGATATGGCGTGTGGGGTGATGATTTTCAAAGAAAAATTTTCAAATTTTAGAAAAATTTTTTTTTCGTTTTATTATATTTCATTCAATTTTTTTATGTTGTTTATGTTATTACTGCTTCATAAACGTTAAGAGGCAGTCGGAACTTTCAGGGCTTTGCCCTGATACGAGCAGTCTTGTTTCGTTTTGTTGCGTTTTTGACTTTGTCCATGGAGTCCGATTTACATTAAACAATAGCTAACACATTTGTTCATCATTTGGAATGTTTTATAAAAAATTTTGTCCATCATATGAAATATTACTCATTTAGAGCGGTGAGGTCATTATTGAGGACAGAAACAATTTTCTGTTGTACATTCTTGTACGTGGTCAGATTAATTTTAGTTTTTTGAGAGATAAATCATAAGGGTTGTGTGATAAATCATAAGAAAACCTTCATGTCATAAAGAAATTATAATAAGGTGACCGTGTAGGCTTACAATAGCTCCTCTAAGCCTAATTTAAACCGTGAAAACTTGGTTTTACTCAAATAAAGTAGTTTTTGGAATTTTGTAGCGCAATTTTGGGGATCAAAAATTGAATTTTAAAAAATGTCTGCAAAAAAATTTGAAAAAACTTTTGAACATTTTCAAAATTTTTTTTGTTTTTTTTTTTCATTCATTTTTCTTCAAAAACTATTTTTCAATTGACCTATCTTACTATGGTTCTCAAATATGTCTAATTTTTTTCTCGTTCAGATTTTTATCACAAGATGCAGAAAAAAACGACACCCAACATGAAATACTTTTCTTTTAATTTTTTTAAGACTGTGGTCGGAACATTATATGCTACTTGCGCAGCAACCGGCTATCCTTGTTTTTTTTTTAAATTTTTTTTATGAATATGGTCGAAACATTCTGTGCTACTTGCGCAGCAACAAGCTATCCTTGTTTTTTTTAAAATTTTTTTATGAATGTGGTCGAAACATTCTGTGCTACTTGCGCAGTAACCGGCTATCCTTGTTTTTTTAAAGTTTTTTATGAATGTGGTCGGAACATTCTGTGCTACTTGCGCAGCAAACGGATACTCTTGTTATTTTTTGAAAATAGATGAAACACATTTTTAGGTGATAAAAACAGGAAGATACATAATCATTAATTGAATATAGGTGGTAATGAATTTTTGCCATATTTACGTCTGAATAGCAAAATTTATCGGACGAGTTTTCTCGTATTTGCTCAAAATGATTTTAAACTAAAACAATTCTACTTAATGATTTGAAAAAATGGGTTGATTATAATGAGACTGCTTGTATCAATACGGAGTTAATGTTCCGAATGCATTTTAACATGTCTGCTGCAATATTTGACAACATCGATGAAACAAAATTGAGTTTGAAAATTTGCTTTTTTGTTTTTATTTAAATCAACCTTTATAGACGTAGTAATAATAGCTAATTTAGCTAAGCTATAGACAAAAAGAGCTAAAAAAGCTCGAAAGTCGGAATAACAAGCTATAACTTCAAAAGTAGCTGTTGGTAGATAGCTTTGTTTGTTTCAGAAGAGTCAGTGCTGGTGAACATATCACTGCAAGTGGCCAGCATAGGACACATAGCCGAGTCAACCATGGTAATATATTCAGAATACGACCTAGGTTTCCTTATTTGGTTATTTTTTACTCCTTTTCGTCTTCTGTTTCAAAATAACAAACAATGTTACAAAAGATTTCTGAACAAAAATAACTGCCAGCCTCGATCTCTTCAGCCACCCCCCCCCCATTTGAAAAAAGGGAAGCATATAGTAGCTATTACAATGGTTGCGTGTATGCTTAATCGTTGAATTAGTTAGTCCCTAATAGGGGGTGGATATTCTTTACTGTAGAGACCATTGATGGGATTGGCCTAAGAGATCCTCCTAGCTTAAATTTGTAATTTATTTTCAGCTGTAAAATAGGATTCCAAGGTTTAAAAAGAGACAACAAAGAATTAGAAGTGTATTTAAATGCCTTATTTTGTACGAAGATCCTCCTTTTTTGGAATTTGAAGTATTTAGTTTGGGTCTAGTATTTTTCTTAAGCGTGCCGCTGCTTATTTTTATGGAATTAAAGTATACGCCTTCACTAAAAGGGGATGCGACTTCAAAATTCAAGGGTTTTCTCTTTAATTTGAGTCGAAACAAATTTTATTTCTTCGCTCTTCGACAGAAATATATCAGCATTTTCAGCAAATAGGTGTAATGAACATGTGCTGTATCATTTTATGCATTTTTTCTTTTTTATTGGTAATAAATCATGTGTAAAAAGTGAATATATTAACACGGTTGAGTTCATAAAACGGGGATTTTTCTGGCCGCCTGACTGAATTAATCAATCACGACTGAGCCTTGCAAAGTTCATTTATAAACTCAATAGGCATCCCTTTTCCTCTTGTTGTGGTCAAAAATTCTCAATAGAGGCTGGATTGAAGCTTTCATGGATTATAAAGCTCTCAAGGCTAAGATTATTCCTGACTCAAGGACAAGGAAAAGTTTTTCTGTATTTTAATAATGTGTCTCAAGATAAAATAAAAATATTGAGCAAATAAGCTACTCGACATATCAATTTCTCAATATATTCATGCTTTGTTACTTAATAAGATAGGTTTTGGGTACGATATTTTTGTTATTTTTTGCTTTGTGGGCGTACAAAAGTAGCCGATATGACGCAAATTAAATAGACAAGTTTGCATGATATACTGATAGATCTAACACGAATAGCTGATGACAATACTGTTAGCACAAAAACTTTTGACCTTAAATTTTGCAAAAAAAATAATGACCTAGAAGCTTCAAGTGAATTTTTCGGGATTCTCTGTCATTGAAAACATAATGGTATAATATTCAAAGTTTTCGTGTTTATGAGCTTAAGTCAATTCACTTCTGTCTTTTTTGGAATGTTTTCACTATTTGTCGTTTTTCGTCGTCGCAAAACGATGTTGTAGAAACTATGCATCAAACAATAGTGCACTGTACAGTCCGCCCTATTTTGCAATCGTAAAATAAAAATGAAAAATTGGAAGAGGTTGGGGTGGGGTGTCCCCTAGCTTAGACCTAAGCTATGTCGAGGTGAGTGTGCTACCTTGTCGAGTTGGCTGTCTGAGTTGAAGTCGTCGGCTGTCGAGATGAGGATCGTAGGATGTCAAGTTGGGGTTTCGATGTTGTCCTGAGCTCACTGTTCAAAATTTCTGCTACGGAAAAGAAAGTTGAAGTCTGCTGATTGAAGGAGCTGGTCGATTGTTGCAGCTGATCATGTTCCGGAATGGAATTCAGATCTGATGAATCAAGGAGATTGGCTGGTCGTTCTTTTCCGCTGTTCCTTGTCAAATAAGATCGTTGTCGTTATCCAAGTAATTACAGGTTGAAGAAATCTGGTTGCATTCAGAAATTTATGCAGAGAAGATGAGAGCAAAATCAAATGTTGGAGTAAACATAATGAGAGTGTGTTCCCGGCAAAAAAAACTGTTGTTGCGTATCAGGTGTCGTTGGCAAACAAAAGGCATTTCTGGAATCAGGGTATCGTCGTTGCTGTATGTCTAAATTCGTTTAAGAAGGCAAAGCTGGCAGGCTCTTCCGTTTTTCCTTTTCAAAATCTCGGCATTGGAGAAGATGTTCCAGTTTGATTGCTTCTCTTTGGCGCGGATTGCTGAGTGTAGAAGTCTGGACAAACAGGAGCGAGGCGTATTGCTGGGATTTGAACACTTCAGCGGCGGATTCTAACGTTGTATTGTCGTATTACCTTGTCGGCCGATGGGATCGGTGATTCTACGCGACCTAGTGGCCATAATTTACGAGGAGTTAGATCTTCTAAAAACAAAACGGGTTGTCTATTCGAGATAGAGGGAGTTTTCGAGGATCATTTTTGTCGACAAAGCAGAGTTGGGATGAACTCTTTCAGTAGGTGGTTTCAAACATGGTCTGATAGCTGCTGTGCAAATTTCCATTAATTTATCAATTTTAATGGCTTAGAATTATTTCTGCGAGGCATGCTGGCAAACATTCTTCAAAGAAGGAAATATCGCAGGGAGAAGACGATACAGTCGTGATGGGTCGTTTATTCATAAACTGTGCAATCTCGCACAGCAGGATGTTGAAAGTATCATCTCTGAGGGCGTTAGATACAATGATGGCGTATAGAGAAATTTTGACGCTAAGAATGATACGTTTGCAGACGCGATCAAAATGTGGTGCATAGGCGGCGTTGATTTGCGAAGATTTCTGGTGGTATCCAAAATTTGGTCATCGAGGAGCTGTCAAAGGTGGCCATCAGTTCTTTTTCTGCTGCTAAAACGTTCGTTGCCTTGTCAGAGCGGATTTCTGAAGGGGTGCCTCTTCTGGCAAAGAAGCGGCGGAGGGCTGTTAGAATTGCGTCGGATGATAGGTCATGGCACATTTCCAGATGAACTGCGCGTGTCGTCATGCCGGTAAAGATCTGTCCATACCGTTTGCTATAGGTGATTGAATTGTTTGACGCGAAGGGTCCACAATTTTCAAGACCAATTTGCTGAAAAAGGAATGGCTTATCTGATGGAAATCGACATGACGGGAGAGGAGACATTTCAGGATCGAGTGCACAGGCGAGCTGGCGTCGGCAGTCGTAAGTACTGTTGTACCTTTACGTATTTGAGATCTGGCAGGCAGAATCCAATAGTCAGCTTGAAGTGTGTTGTTTGTATGCTCGGGTGGGAATGCTTATGAGAGATGTGAACATGTTGTACGAGGAGGTAAATTGCTGGGTGTTTTCTGTCTAAAATAACGGGATGCTTTAAAAAAAAAGTCAAGTCTTCGCTTTTGTAGTCTTCCCTTGGCTTGAATGATGTTCGATTTGTCGAGAAAAGGCGAGGGGGTCGGATTCGGCTAGATGTAGCAACGATATTTCTTTTCTGGAGATCTTTTAGTTCATACGAAAAAGAGTCCTGTTGTGATTTTTTGAGGAGAAATTTCATTGCCAAGTCGATGTCGTATGTGTTCAGAGTGATACTATGACGTTGAGTTCCTTCAGTTGTCAAAAGCGACGAGATTGCTAAGGGTGAAAACTGAATCAAATTATGTTGACAAGGTTTCTGATGAGGGGTTTGAGATACTGATCGATCAATTGAAGATTAGCTGCTTGAGTTTCTAAACAGTGCGGTGGCAATAAGAACAAAACTTGTTGCGCGAAGGCGGTTTCACTTTAAAAAGCGTTCGTTATTGATACAAGAGCTGCTAACCATGGGATATTGCAAGGCTGTCACAAAGCAAGAGTGATGCTGATCGGGAAAACATTTTTTGGTAAGATTGAAAACGCAATCATATTGTCTGTCGCTTTCCACAGTGCTTGAAGGGGAGACTGTTTCAAAGGGCTGTTTGGTCCAAGCATCTTCTAGCTGAAGAATTAAATCTGGTCCATTGAACCATTGGCTGTTAAGGTTGAACCCTGAAAAGGGGATTCCACGAGTTCAATCATCGGCGGGGTTGAGGTAACCTGGCCAGTGTTTCCACTAATTAGATTGGGTGATCTCCAGTATCTCTTCTACAGGATTTGCAACAAAGATTTTTGTCTTTTGTCTGATCCACGAATCCACTGCAAAATTGTGCTGCTATTGGTCCAGAGATAAGTGTGGTTTGCAGAGAAACGTTGTTGTTGCTAAATGAAAAGAGCAAGACGGGCACCAAACAGAGCTGCTTGGAGTTCCAGTTTCGTGAAGGTGTGTTGTTTCAACGGGGCTACTCGGGCCTTGCGTAAATCAATTTATTTGTTTTGGCGGTAATCGTTTTTGTTGTCGTCACCACATGTTTGGAGAGTTGACAAGTTGGCGAGCATTTAGCTCCAAAAACGAAACGAGTATACTCGTAAAAATTTTGCTTAGTTTTTCCCCAGATGAATCTGAGAAAATTCCTGTCTTCGGGTCTGAATGAAACTTGCATTTACATGCTTTCATTGTCTGCTTTAATGGGATACTTCCGTCCTCGAAAACGGCAAATAACGGCAAGTAGGCTGCTTAGCCAGTCCGGTCCAGATAAAAGCAAGTCTTTTAGTCAAACTCCTCTTTTTCAGGCTTTTTGGGTTCGTCACTCCATGCCTCGACAGTATCCATCCTGTTGAGGGAGGGAATTTCTTCGATTGGAAATTTTTGAATGTTTTTCTTGATCAAATCGTTTGTGATTGTGTCCTGGTACATTGCAAGCTTGTCGGGGTCGTTGACAAGGCGGGTTTTCATTATCTTGAATTGTTGAGCGGCAGCAAAATAGTTGTTGGGAAGACAGGTGTTCGGTTTTTTCAGAGAAGTACAATTTGATACTTTCCTTCCGTGAAGGTGATAGTCTTCCGAAGGGTCTCAATGGCGTGTTTTTTGTCTTTAGAGAGAGTTACCTCCGGACAGGTTCCATAAGTTTCCATTGTCCAGGTTGACACTAGTAATTTTGAAAGGTTTACGCCTTCGTTGATGTCGTTGTGGTGAGAAGCGTATGCTCGGAAAACTGAATTCCCGAGTTTCGGCTGTTGTACCACCAATTGTCTAAACAAGAGGTGTGGAAATTGCACGTGGTTCACTTTCTGGTCCTTCTGTCGCTTCCAATGAGAATTGAAACTTGGTTGTTGTCGGAATCTGGAAAGT